GATCGGCCATGTGGGAGTGTCCAGCGCCTTAACCACACACCACCTGCTGGCCTCCTTTTTGAATTTTCTAGCTTGATAAGAAATCTTAATTTCTAGCTAGAAATCTTAATCTTCTAGCTTAATGAGAAAAGGATCATTAAAAAAGAAAGTGTTGGCACCAGCAGGTGGCATAGTGGTTAAGGGCGTTGGACTCCCACATGGCGGACTGTGGAGCTCATTCCTAAGGACTTGGTCCAGGCAGTGGCGTAATGGCTATGTCGCTGGATTCCCACGTAGTTGACCGTGGTTCGCATCCCGGACCCGGTGGCTTGGAACTCATGCCGGGCGCGTGTGTGTACGTGCCCAAGATCCCGAGAGGAGAATAGAGAAGGGATTGCGGCGTGACCATCCCCCCTGGGGGGTGATTTCTCACTTTCTGTCTCTATGTCTCTCTCTGTCTGTCTGGTGAGTGCACGTGCCCTATAGTGAAAACCTCTCCAAAAAAAAAAAAGAAAAGAAATTGTCACCAAGACTAAAAAGCACCTAATACACAAGGTTCATAATTTTTTTTTAAAAGGTTTTTGTCATAGAGAACCTGCACTTGCCAGAGAGAGAGAGAGAGAGAGAGAGGGAAAGCGAGAAATCACCCCCTGGGGGGGGATGGCCATGCTGCCATTCCTTCTGCTCTACTCTCCTCCTGGGATTTGGGTATGCATGCATATGTGCCCAATATAATTTTCAAGCCACCAGGTCCGGAACTCAAAACTGTTGTCAGCCATGTGGGAGTCCAGTGCCTCAATTACCATGGTACCTTCTAACCCTCACCATTTTTATTTATTTATTTATTTTAGTTTTACCGTAAAGGATGTGTAATCTCCAGAGATAGACACACGGTGAGAAAGACAGAGATGAGGAAAAGCAATAAATCACCCCCCAGGAAGGATGGCCATGCTGCAATCCCTTCTCCTCCATTCTCCTGTAGGGATTTTGGGCACACACGCACACATGTCTGGCATGTTTTTCAAGCCACTGGGTCAGGAACTCAAACCATGCATTTGGCAATGTGGGATCCAGCTGCCTTAAGCTCCATGCCACTGGCCGGCACTCTGTTTATTCTCTTTAGAATTTCTGGGTACCCCTATTTCCTTCCCAGCTATTTGCCTACAGCCAATTTGCAAACGGCAAAGTGTAGTTCTCTCCCCTTCTCAGCTTTTACAGCCCTTTGGGGTGAGAGGACCACAGAAAACATGGCATCATAGTACTCCGGGCTCAAGGGCTTTCAGAGTCATCTGTCAGTGGTTTTTCAATGTTCCTCCATAGAGCTCCAGAATTCTACAAAGAGACCTCACATGCTGCCCACCGGATTGGAGACAAGGGCAAGGGCAGGGCTGGAAGTTTTGCTTGTCTTATCCCTCCCCTATTTTTTTTTTTTTTTTTTTTTTTTGAGAGAGAGAACTTAATTTTATTTTACTTATTTATTTATTTATCCATTTATCCATCCACTTCAATTTGACCAGAAAGCGGGGGGGGGGGGGAGAGAGAGAGAGAGAGAGGGAGAAAGTGAGAAAGCAAGCCGTTGGTTGGGACTCGAACTGCAGTCAGCCATGTGGGAGTCCAGCGCCCTTAACCACCATGTCACCTGCTGGCCTTGGTTTACTCCTATTTTCGATGATGAAGTCTTGAATACAAATTCATCGGTGGAAAATCTTCTGCTAATCAAAAGCTTAAAAATGCCAGCAGGTGGCGTAGTGGTTGGGGCGCTGGACTCTGGCATGGTGACCGCAGTTTGACCAGACCCAGTGGCTTGAAATTCATGCCAGGTGCATGTGTGTGCATACCAAAAATCCTGAGAGGAGAATAGAGAAAGGACTGTGGTGTGGCCATCCCCCTGGGGGGTGATTTCTCACTTTCTGGCTCTCTAGCTTTCTGGGGCGTGCACGTACCCTATAACAAAAATCTTTCTCTAAAAAAAAAAAAAAAAAAAAAAACTTTTATGGGGCTAGATCCATGGCACAGTGGAATGCACTGCTCAAGTGAAGCCAGATCCCACATGGTGACTGACTGGAATTCCTGGCCAGGGCACACATGTGAGTGCCCAATATCCAACAGGCTGGAGGACTACAGAAAGGGGATTTCAGTGTGACCAGACCCTGAGGAGGGTGTTCTTCTCTTTCATGTGCATGCACATGGTCTATCATGAATAAAGAAAAAACAACCTTTTGGGACCAGCAGGTGGCGTGGTGGTTAAAGCGCTGAACACTCCCACATGGCTGACCAGGGTTTGAGTCTTGGACCTGGTGGCTTGCTTTCTCACTTTCCTTCTCTTTCTCTCTGTGTCTCTCTCTGGTCAAATCAAAATAAAATGAATGAATGAATACAAGTAAATAAATAATTAAAAAGAAAAAAACAACCTTTTTTTTTAGAGAGATTTTTGCTAGAGGGCATGTGTGCTCACCAGTCACCGAGAGACAGAGACAGAAAGAGAGAAATCACCCTTCAGGAGGGAAGGCCACACTGCAATCCCTTCTCCTCTACTCTCCTCCCAAGATCTTGGGCATGCATATACACATGCCCGGTGTGAGTTGTAGGCTATCGGATCCAGGACTCGAACTGTGGTTGACTACGTGGAAGCCCAGCAATGTAACCATCACATCATCTGTTGGTACCTCCGAACAAACCATTTTTACGGTCCAGTCTTGCCTTGGGTATCTGAATCCCACCTTCCCTCCACCCCTTTAGTCTCTCAATGCTGCCTCCATCTCTCCCTCAGGCAGATGAGGTGGCTGGGAGAGCAACCAGAACCCAGGCTTCCTGCTTTCTAGACACATGGAGTTTCCTTGCAAACTGGTGGTTCCCCCCCACTGCCTCCCCCCCACATACAACAATTCTCTTGTCCCATTTTCAATTTCTTTCTTAGTATTTCTTTTTCTCTTTGGGACTAAGAATATTGAATAAACAAATATCTTTATACTGTGCTGAACACTCATTACCCACATTTTGTTAAAAATTCTTTAAAGAGGGGGACCAGCAGATGGCGTAGTGGTTAGGTCGTTGGACTCTCACATGGTCAACTGCGGTTCCTGTCCCAGACCTGGTGGCTTCAAACTCATGTGGGACACATGTAGGTGTGTGCCCAAAATCCCAGGAGGAGAATGGAGAAGGGATTGCAGCATGGCCACCCCCCCCTCCCCCAAGGTGATTTCTCACTTTCCCTCTCACTGTCTCTGTCTCTTTTTCTCTCCCGTGAGCACATGTGCCCTAAAACAAAAACCTTAAAAACAAAATTCTTGGGGCCGGCAGGTGCTGTGGCAGTTAAAGGCGCTGGACTCCCATGTAGCTGATTGTGGTTTGAGTCTCCAACTGGGCAGCTTACTCTCTGGTCAAATTGAAAAATAATGATAATAAATAAATAAATATTTTAAAAATTATTTAAGTAGGTATGCCTTCTTATCTCAATGGGAATACTAAACTTATTTTATCATTTTTCTATTAGCATAGTATATTAGGAAGAACAAGCATACTTATAAATGAATAAGTAAATGGATCAATATAAGTATTTTTTTTCTTAGTCATTATTCCTCTTCACTACCTGACTCAGAAGCCAGGGGCAGGAAACTCAAGAAGCCTTTCTGGGACATGGCATCAACACACAGGTAACAATATTTATAATATTAAGAACGACACTGTTCTTAGGAGTTTATATACATGAACTCATCTTGACAACAACCCCACCTTGAAGGTTCTATGAGTACATCCATTCCATAGATGATGAAACAGGCTCAGCGAGGTAAAGCAGTTCTTACCTCCTATCCGCTACTACAGTGCCTGGCAACCAGGAGCACCCCACTGCGTGCTTATCCCAGAAAGTAAGGCCCTTCACTACCTAAACACAGACCACATCTGCCGGCTGTCTCCTCTTGCAGTTCTACCTCTTGCTGTTCTGATGGGAAACTTTCCCTCTAGCTGTGGCTATCCCCTCACTTACTGTATACCCCATCTCCTCTCTGCCTCCCGGGACGACCTGTGCCTCTTCAGGCAGCTCCAATGCTGCCTCTCCCCTGGATCCCCCAGGCCCGAGTGCCTGTCTCCCTCCTCTGTGGTCCCAGGCAATGTGTTGGAACCTGGGTTGCAGGGGGCACCACAGTCTTTGTCTTGTATGTGTACACACAGCTGGCTCCTGCTCTCACCCATAAGCCTCCTGAGGGCAGGATTTTGTCTCTAGGAATCCCTTGCAAGGGACAGGTCCACAATGAATGTGGGTGAAACACGGAGGAAGAGTTGAGTCTTACTGGGAATCATCAGGGCAAGCAAATGCATGTATTAAAAAATAATTATCCTGCCGCCACCCCCACCCCTGGGGTCCTTGGTTCTCCTGGGGACTTGAGTCTGGAGGAAGGATTCAGCCTTTGACAAATGTCGAGGACTCTGTCTGCAAGGTGGGGCCACTTGGTTAGTGGTGGATCCACATTCCCCAGGGATCTTGTGGTCTTTCTCACTCCAGGCCCCTCCTCCCACAATACCCCTCAACTCTGGCTCTCCCTCTCCACTGAAGATTCCAGGACCCCCAACCTCAGCAAAGCTGAAGATCCCGGAATTGGGGTATATGGGGAAACTGGAGCCCCCTACTCCCTTCTGTTTTGATGTTCTGCTCTTATTATGCCTCGAATATGACTTCCAGAGAAGACAGGGTGGGGGCATGTGGGGATTAAGAGGATGGGGGAGAGAGGTACCAGGGAGGACAGGGAAAAGCAGGCAGAAAGGACGGTGTGTGCGGCGGAAGGTGGCGGGGGATCTCGACCTCTGGCCCCTCTGGACTCTCCGCCAGCGCCAGGAAGGGCCCAGGTCCGGGCGGTGGAGGACAACTTCTGCCAGCAGCCCGCCGCGAGTCCCGTCCGCCTCCCGCGCGCTGCGGCGCCCAGCCCCGCGCCAGTCCTCCCGGGGTTGCCAGAGCTCGGCCGCGCAGCTCCCCACCCGGGGCCACCCTGGCGTCCACCCCCACGCCTACCGACCAGCCTCCTCACCTTCGGGACCCGAGGGAGCGACCAGCCGGCGGGGCCCTGGGTCCGGGCCGGGCTGGGTGCGGGGAAGCGCTCTTCCCCCCCGCGCTAGCTGCGCCCGGGGTTCCGCAGCGCCCGCCCCGGCTGCGGCGCCATCAGCTGCTGCGAGGATGCGGGGCTGTCGGGCCGGGGCTCAG